TCAAGACCTAAGTCGAGATGTAACACAGAAAACCGAGTAACATTTGAAAATGCTGCTGCTTGATATGAAATCGGGTAAGGAAGCTTCATGGTTGAGGTCGAAAAGGAAGGGTTTATTGGATGGATTCTTTCTTCAATATTTAACATAGAAGACTTGTTAACTTATTCGTTTTATTGCGTGTTCGGACCCTGTCCGATACACCTCCAAATTCTTCAGGAAGACTTGGTTACTGGATTCAGAACGTGTTGAGTCTGGCAATGTAGAGAAGGTTTCACAAGGGATAAAATATAGGAGGATCCTAGAATTAATGTTTAGTGACAGTTGAATAGGTGTATACAAATACAGTTTACATTTTATATGTGAAAAGAGAACTGTCTCTATATATATATATTTTTTTTTCAATTGTCTTTTGAAAAAGATTGAAATTACTAACTATATAATTAAAAAAAATATATTTATTTTTAACGTTTTATTAATTAAAAATTTTAAAAGAAGATTTATTTTTAGCATCTTATTAATTAAACATGCTAATTTTATGGGTCAATATTTTTTGTTTGTTTAAAAATAAAAAATAGCATAAACATGCTACAGGTTTAAATACATATTAATAAATAAAAATACATATATACACATAAAAGTAGAAAATAGAAATTACGGCGTGTTTTACTTTTTGAAGAAAATAAAAAAATTATTTAATGAGATATTATTGTAATATTTTGTTTCATTAATTTTATAAAAGAAATAAAATAATTGATGATAACAAAATAATTAAATTATTGTTAATAGAATAATAAATTACATAGTTCAAAATTAAAAAAATATATTTTTTTAGTACTTTTCTTATTTTCTTTTCCTTACATCTCGAAAATTAAAAATTTTAAAACATTAAAAAAAGACATTGAATATTTTATTAATTTCTTTAATTAATTTTTAAACGAAAAAATAAAAAATAAATAATATCTATCTTTTTCGTTTCCTTCTTCTCTTCACTTTCCTCTGCCAATTCAGTTTATACAAGCCCTACAGGACGACGGACAAAAGTGGGCCTTTGTAATGGGACTGTATTTCTGTTAGCTATTACAATATATACATGTATATATATATATATTTCTATTTTCGACTCAAGTCTTTTGCAGAGGCCAACTTTTACCTTGGAATCGCTGGTGAAACGGAAAAAAGAAGTAAAAATATTTCTAAAAGAACAAAGACGGCTTGAGGGAAGATGTCTTCTCGTCGCTCCACTGTCTTCACTTTTCTCGTCTCGGCGGTCTTCTGCTCTCTTCTTTCTCAGGTATCGCTCGTTCTCATTTATTAGTTTTCTAACCCTAAAGTCTTACTTGGAATGCGCTAGAAGAAAGGGGAACAATGTCTGTGCTGATTTGTGATGATAGGTTTACGCTGTGAATGAGCCTTACGAGCCGAGGATCAAACTCCCATCCTCGCCGTTTTCAGCAGCTATCAAAGCACTCCAGAAGCAAATTGGGTGAGTTATTGTTGGCCACACAGTGATCCTTTTAGTTTCTGAGAAAACGTGCATGAAAGTGGGGAAAGCTGAAAAATAATCAGTGGTAGGGTTTCTTTCTTTTGAATAAAAGGATCATATTACCTAAGAATTCTGTTTAAAATTTTATCTATCTGGTTTAGTTGAAAAGAAATTCAAATTTCTGGGAAAGTAGAGTAACGTCAAATTCCTAAATGGAAATGTAACAGGTGAAATTGTCGATGCATATATGCATCTAACTTACACTGGATGCCAGATCATCTCCTGTTAGCATGTAATGTTCTTCTGTGTTGTTTCATGCCTTTAACAATGAAAACTGTATACACATATGTGCATCTAATTATTGAGTAGCATGACAGAGATGTAGTTCAATGTCTTTGCTATTGTTCCGTGCCTATCTATTTTGAGAAGAAAAAGTATAAGAGAGGTTTTTTATTCTATCTTCCTCCTTACTTAGCTACGAGTTTGAGAGTGTTGGTCTTCTACGCCGTGCTATGACCCATCCCTCGTACTCAGAAGAGAATAACAAGGCATTGAGTATTCTGGGGGTTCATATTATTGAAACTGCAGTTTCTCTCCGCTACCTCGGGAAGGATGTTGATACTTCTGCAGGTGATCTGAACCACCGGATATCAGAGATTTCTGAGGTAGTTTCTTCATGTGCTAATGATGGCAGGGGGTTGGGACTGGAGAAGGTGGTTAGAGTTTCTTCCAAGACGAATTCATCAATTCCAGGAGTGGTTTGTGGTGCTTTTCGAGCAATGGTTGGTGCCATTGCTCTTGATAGTGAGAAGTCTGATGATGCTGGACGTATTTTCTGGACTCTTCATCGGGAGGTTGGAAAAGCTACTGTGCTGTAAGTTGGGCTTCTGTCCATATCTGCTGCTAAAGAATGCTTCTTTTAGTGGTGTTGTCTAGTTGTGATCTTCTATGTAGTGCCAAAGCATGTTTCTTTGTTATGTTGCAATAGATTGTGCTGGCTGTTTATGCTAGAAGGAAAGTTGGTTGCTGTGGCATGAGGCACTATAGTAATGTAAATGAATCAGTATTAGAACCAAATCGGTCAATTAAGGGTGCTCTGTTATGGTTTATATAATCTATGTTCTATCATGCCATGGACTTATCTTGAATTTTTAATATCCATCTTTGGCTTGATGATATCCTTCTTCTGTGTTTTCTGTTGAAACATAAAAAGTGTTGCTTGGTACATGAAAACACCAGCCTCAGGCAGGATGGACTTGATGCTCTGGGTGAATTTGTCACCAGTGCAAAGTGGATTGGCCACTGGCACCTGGTGAACTGTTAGCAGTGCCTGGTGCACTGATCGCCTGAACTGGGCAGGTTCAGTCCTGATACTAGGTGGACTGGCCATCATCGGTTGTAGTGAAATGACTACCATTGCTGGCAGCCTGACTACCAGTGTAATAATTATTCCAAAACGTGATTTTTTAATGTAATTTTTTATTTAAATAATAAAAATCCTTCGTGTTTTACTTGAGTGACATGATTTAAGATTAGAAATTGAAATTTTTTTGAAAAATTACTGTAGATTTCTTCTTTTTTTATAATCTATGTAACTTAAATAAAACAAATTACTGTCTTGTTGAGTTTATTAAATTTAATATTTAGTTGTTATGGCTCTCGGATTCTATAAAAAACAAAACGCAAAATAATTAACAACAATTTCTCACTTTTTGTTAAATTTTTCACATTTGCATTAAAAGATTGTGAACAAAAATAAAATCTATAAGTTTAAAGATCAAATTATGACAAAGAAAAAAAAAAACACTTTTGAATCTAATCAGAACATGGTGAAGTTTTAGAAATTCAAAACATAATTTTTCAAAGATATATGAGTGCATCACTAATACTATATTTTTATTTTTATTCAGTAAAAATTATTTTTGTTTCTAACTACCACACACGTCTATTGTCTACATGGTGAGAAAAAATTCCTGAAAATATTTGTGCTCGAAAGATAGCTTGAGTTTCAAGTCAATGAATAAAAGGATCACATGGAATGAGTTTTAAATTTATTATCCAGGATTTATTAATTTCTCTATCTGTTCTATCTTTTCAGCTGCAAGTCATGTATATAGAATTTGACACATTGGGGCTAGACTAGATAGATTAACTTAGATAGCAAGATTGTTTGATATGAAATTTGGAGCACCTCCCTGGCTCTCCCAGATTCTGTTCAAGTGTATAGTCTCGATAATGAAGCAAGAAATCCAAAGCTTGGGTTGCAGCCATAATTTCATGTTTCCTGCTTGTTCCTTTATGATTGTTAAGGAAATTTCGGAGCTCCAAACTTTCCACTGCTTTCTCCTGAACCTGTTCACAGATTATAATTATGTGGAAATTCAAATGCATGGAGCTACGCTTCATACACTTTCTGCTTTTGGGTTATCCTCCTCAACCTTTGAACTGCAGGACACTAAAAATGAAATTTGGGGAACTATTAGTGAATTATATGAAGTTTTTCTTCTTCCTTTTTTTTTTTTTTTTGACTAGGTATATATTGTAGATATGAGTTCGTTCTCTTTTATTGCTTACGATGCAGATATACTAATTTCTGAAAGCGTGACGAGAATTGCCTTGATTACAAAGCTAATGCTGGGATGACTTGTTACATGTTCTTTTTTTTTAACTTGATGCTTACATATTCATCCACAGACGTTTGTACAGACAGGAAAACAGAGATTTACAAGGCCTTGAAAAAGATAAACAGAAATAGTTATCTGGGGCAAAATCCATCTATTGGTGGATTATCATCGATCTCTAATTGATTTGATTAACTTGTGTTTTTTCCCAATAGATGTTTATGCCTTAAATAATGAAGCTGTTCCAGTACTGAAACTTGAACCATACTTCTCTTATTCTTGAGAAAGAAAGCAAACCGGTTGGTACTTTCCTCTACACATTTTGTTTCTCTACCTGCAAATTGACTTGGAAATTGTAAAAGACAATTTGTGTTACAATATATTTTCCTTTTTCGATTCATGCACACACGTGAACAAGTTTCCTATTCTTTTAATTGAAGTTTCCTTTTCTGTATTTTTTAGTTGTTAAAATTTTTGCGATATTTTGGATAAAGCTCTCCTAATTGGTACAGCACCAGAAAATAAAAGTCCCTCGTCCGCTTGTACGACGGTGAGTCGCTATCTCGTGGGACCCACTCCGATGATCAGCGGAATCTTTGGGTCGAAAAATAATTTACCGAGGGCTGTCCCCACCAGCTTATGCGTTCCATGTAAATCCACGTCATCCTCGGGCCCACACAATTGGAAATCTCTATCGCACGCGAAGCACCAGATCACAATCCAACTACCCCATAAATTACTAAAAAACCCTTCCCGGTTCAGTTAGGCGATCGCCTCAAAAATCAACCGGCAGTTACCGGTCACTCTATCGCATACCCGGTCGCCCCAATGTTCCCGTTACAACCTTTCGGTTCTTGGCATGTATATCAGACAAGGCACCGTAGGTTTATCTTCTGAACAGACACAGTGAGAGACGGGGATTGATCGAGAGATAGGGGTTAGGGTTTGCGCTGAAATTTTCAGCTGAAAAGCAGGAGACCGACCACTCGGACTTCAGTGTTTTAGTTGATAGATGGGAATGGAAGATCCGTCCATGGCCCAGAGCAATCCGGACCCTGAAGAAGCATCTAATTCTCTGCTGAGGAACACGCGCTGCTGCTTCTGTTTCCCTTGCTTCGGCTCCGCCAGATCATCTTCCGTTAGATTAGCCTGGTGGGAACGGATAGGATCGTCGTCTGATAGGCACCATGAGGGTCGATGGTGGGATCGGGGAATCAGAGCCTTCAAGAAGATACGAGAATGGTCGGAGATCGTCGCCGGACCTCGTTGGAAAACCTTTATCCGACGCTTCAACAGGAACAAAAACGCCGGCGCCGGTAACCGACATGGGAAATTCCAATATGATCCATTGAGTTACGCTTTGAATTTCGACGAAGGCCACGGCGTGAACGGTGATTTCGAAACCGAAGGAGATTACAGTGGATACCGCGATTTCTCGAGCCGATGGGCATCGGTTCCGGGTGCGGGTAAAGGTACGGCCACAACGACGTCGTCTATGGAGGTTTCTAGCAATGTGAGAACAGCTTTCGCGTGAAACGCGCGGTTGTGGCGTTGTTTCTTGGTCCTTGAAGGTGGGCGCGTGAGCAGTAGCGTTGACCTAACGGTGTAATGTGACGGCGGCGTTCTTTGTTTTTATTTATTTTATTATTTAATTTGTTTTTTGTTTTTAATAGTTGAGAGATTTTGTTTTTGGTAAATGAGTAGTAACGTCGTCTGTATAAAGATGGTGATAGGATCAGGATTGTTGGTTTACCAATTATTGTTTTTATTTTTTATTTTTTATTTTTCTTATCAAGAAAAGATTTTGAAGGGTAATGATGTAAATTTAATTTGTTAATAATATTAAGAAGAATGTCTTGATTTTATTAAAGATTATAATGTTATATATACATGTTTTTTAGAATTATTTTATTAAAGAGTATAATATTATAAATGATATAATTTTATTATTTATTTCTTTTTTTATTTTGCGGTTTTTTCTTCTTTAATATTATGATTTGTTTTTTTCTTAATGTTATGATTTTTCTTCTCCTTAAAATATTAATTTTTTTTTTTTTTTTTAAAAAAGAAATCTTATGATTTTCTTTCTTTTTTTATAACATTGATTTATTTTTTCTTTTTAACTACGAAAAATAATATAATTGTATCAAATATACAGATTTTATGGTTGAATTTGATTAAAATTTCAGAATAGTTATTAGCTCCAGATATTTGTAAAATTAAGTATGTAGACAAAGTTTTTAAGCCACAATATTTAATTATGATACTTTTTAATTTATTGCATTTAAATAGTACTTAAATATATTAGATATTTACTGCTTATATATGGATATATAGTTGTTAATTAGAAATCCCATGTATGATACCAATTTAATTGGATTCCTTCTGGGGATTTATAAAAAAAAAAAAAAAAAAAAGATTTATTGAAGGAGCAAATTTGGATATATAAATAGTGATGCTCTCTTAATACGGGATGTGCATAACTGGGTGACGTATTAAAATTAAGTACCTCTTAATTGCCAAATGTTTGCCATCGACTAAAAAAAAGTTTTAAAAAAAAACTTTATTCAATACTATCTCATTAACACTTAACAAGCAATTAAAAAGGTACTTAAATTTAAGATTTTTATAAGAAATAAATTTTGACAAAACCAGAACCCATGCATTTTTTTTTTTTTTTTTTGTTTTTCCAATTTCTTATCTTTTCAGAAAAAAAAAAAAAAATCTAATTAAGCTCTCTAGTCAACATTATTTTAAATTATATATAACATATTTAGTAAAAACAAGAAACTTAGAAAATGAATAAAATTATTTATAAAATAATTTATCTGCTTACTGTAACATTCTGCTGTTAATAGATTTTATGTTCAGTAAAATGTCTCCTACAATCCATGGGAAGCTCACAAAATTTATACCTTCATGGCAGTAAGAAGGATGGTAGGTTACATGATACCATGCAGACGCCAACTGCAGTTGTTCGTCTTCCTTGCAGCTGCTCTCGAACCATTCTTTAGCCTCCTTCTGTAAGCTTTTCACAGACAACAAGCTTCGGTCCTTCATATCACCGTATCTCCTGTTGTCGTATCGCAAATACATTGCTCGGTTGCGGAAATGACCTGTTAGTATTTCATCCTCACCTTCTGCCTCGTAGTACTTCATTAATGAGCTTATTTTCTCTTCGTACATATCTCTGTGCGTCTTTGCAATTTCAACAAAATCCTCAAACCCATTGACTTCGAGTTCACAATCATATGTTGCTTCAGCAATTTTCTCTGACCACACAAACTTTGGCCTTTCTTGATTGGCTAGGTCACAAACAGCACGGTAGAGTTTTCCAAGCACTCCTTGGGATTCATATGTCTTGTCTCCTCGCTCCATGAAATCTGGAAACTCTCTCGGTCTTAGAATGCCTGGCATATCGGCAGGTGCCCCTGTCTTCGCAAAGTCAACAGCCATAGAATGGAGGTTTGCTAATTCAAGACATTTCTGACTATGAGCTTTATCTGGTTCCCGATCAGCATGAACTAGATGTGCAGTAGAGATGGCTCCCAAATTATCGTTAATCATGTAATCAACAAAAAATTTTTGAATTTCCTGAAAATTTCAAAAAGAAGAATGATAGAATGAAGCAAAGAATGAACACACTGTCACATTTTCAGTGCTGTGGTGCCAGAATGCTTAACTTTAACACGATTAGAAAGCTACCTCTAAGGTCACATCATGATCCATCATACGAGGTCTCCGCCCAGTATAGTCCATTGGCATCTCAGTTTCACACGGAATGAGATCTTTATCCCAGCTTACGAAAAATAAGTCCCCATCAAGATCACCACCAGAGCATTCATTAGGATGAGGCCTGCGGTTATGAAGAAAGATCAACTCATCCAAAAATTTTTATAACATTATGCACTCCCTTGATAACCTTACAATTCAATGATTCATGGCCTGAAGCCCTGAATTGGAACCATAGCAATTGAAGATACAGTTTAACTGCAAAATACAAAGGAAGACAAGGACTACAAGAGAAGAACAATACCTTTTTCCTCTTTGCGGAAAAACAAGGCAATCTACTAAACCTTTCTCCTCTAACTCAACTGCATAAACAGCTTCAAGAACTCTAATGTCTCCTGGATGAAGACAAGGATTTTTTGTCACAACCACCTTACCCATAACTATAGCTGTTTTCTCCTCAACCTTCCGGAAGTAACTCTGATCCTCACATTCTAGTTCTGCTTTTGTCACGGTTAGATGAATGTAAACTTGACCATAATCTAATATACCAGTTTCGTCCAAGCACCCGATAAGGATCCGGCCCTTTGGTACAAATATTCGGCATCTAGTTTTTAGGTCAGACAACTGGTTATCATAGAGCGCCTGAAGTATCATTGAGAGGTAAGGTTCGGCATTTGGCTCATAACCTTGAAGTAACATCTTTAGCAGAATGTTCTTAGAATTGGCTATGCCTAAATTTTGTAGGACATCCAGAGCCGCCTCTCTGTTTGTCAGCATTTTTCCCAGCAAATGTAACTGTTCCTGTTGCATTTCCTCAATTTTTTCATCCTTAATTCCCAAGGTTGACAAGAGGCAGATAATCTCTCGGTTCAAAAAGCAAGGCATGGAGTCGCTCCACTTTGTGACATTAAGCATCCTGTTCTTTGATTCAAACTTAACCATACTTCTGCGCACAAACATCTTCCTGAAGGAATTACAATCAATGGCAATGACACCTTTGAAGCCACCATATCGAATCTGAAATGCTGAAGGAGTGTGACTCAATCCACACTTCTGAGCGACCTGTCTAGCAAATGATATAGAAATTTTGCCAATACCATCAGAGAAGCAGTACTTAATACCCCCAGAAGTAACTTCAACATCCGGCATAATCTCCACATCTTGTAGAGGGACATTGCATGTCTGCCTAGAAGAACTGAACAATTGGCCCATTCTAGCTGCACATTTGGACACACTGCGAATGTTATTGAAGACGCCCATCCATTGCCTGATATCTTCTGCTCTCAACTTTTCATTCGAAGCAAACATCCAAACAGAATTTGAGCGAAGTTGACTGGCTGAGAAAGCTAGAAACTCAAACTTTTTAGCTCCAATTACAATCCCATTTTTAAGAATAGACAATATCCTGTGATATATTCTAGTCCTAAAAGCCTTTGCAAAAATGCCTTTCTTAACAGTTGTGGAAATGGCATTTGCAGGGAGCTTACTCCAATCTTCTTCAACAAAAGTAACTCTCATAAAATCTGATGCATATGCTGCAAAGTTCTTTACAACATAATTAGAGGTTTCAAGCTCAGGACCCAAGCAATAAATCTTCGATGGTGTAACGAGTGCTCTATAACAACTCATCACATTATGATCTATCAATCTTTTGTTCAATGATAATGGTGATATCTTACAGTTTCTCCCCACTGCATGTAATTGAGATTTTACAAATGCCACCGGATCAAAACAAGTAGAGTCCAACTTGTGTAACTTCTGCAGAATCGTCAAGGCATTATCTATGGTCAAACAGCTAAGGATCTCAATCAGATCCGTATCTGCAACAACAAGACTAAGCTTTTGAGAATGAACGAGGGAGTTAAGCTGAAAAAGGATCTCATACGATAACTTAGATGCTGCTATGCAGTTTACAAGCGGAACTAATTCATTTTCACATAAGAAATCTCCCTTATCCTCTCCGATTATACTTTTCGTATCTTCTTCATAAAATGGAAAACATGAAAAAATATCAGATGCCGACAATTCGTCTCCAATATCCCAATAAAATGAAGTTGAATGTCCAATTGATTTGATGTTAGAGAAGTCTGTTGTACGAACCCAAAGAAAGTCAAAATCTTCCTTGCAGATATGGTATCGGTCAGTTCTGAATTTTGAAGCTGTATCAGGTCCAGACATCTTCTGATAGACCTTTGGTCCATATTTTACCTGGAAACAGTAAATTTGAAGTTAGGATGGTAAAGTCTACTTTCTCAAATCTTGTTTGATCTAAACCCTATTGATACTGTGGCAGTTCATGTTGCTTCACTCTATTGATGGTGCCATTCTCACTTTAATTTTACGTTTGAGTTGTGGGCGTTTATTCACTACATAAGATGGCTGAAGTTCTAGTAGACTTCATGCCCAAATGCTTTCATACTCCATATGATTCGGAGATATTTGTTACTTCCTTTAGCAGCTTCAGGAATTGGAAATATTAATTTAAATTAATTTTAAGCAATAAACAGTATCCATAAATTCAAAGTTAAAATACTAGGGATATTACTCTTACAACTAAAATCACACAAAAGCAGCAGCATTGACTTGATTCAAATCAATAAGCTTAGATCAATTATTTAGGGTGGTCTAGGAAAAGCTCAGTGACAAATATAGCCAAATGTTCTATTTTATTCCCTACACCTCACGGCCTGGACATACTATTTCAGCAGATGGGAGCAACAATAGCCGAAAAGAGATGTGAGATAACCCAAAGCTACTGCTTTCAAGCTGGCCATAGAAGGAAATTCCAATTCATTCTTTGCTAACCTTACTTAGCATTTTAGATAGTCAACATTGATTAGCGAGTAGACTTATTACGGAAAAGTGCACAATGTAATGAAACTTAAAATCTGTTAACAAATATGCTACTCGGTAAGACAACACCAGAGACCTAACATAAGCTCAATGAAGCAAGAGCATTTAATACACTTTCTTTTCGGATATTTCCTTAGTTGATTTATTAAAAAGGTTTTTACTTGAAACTTAAAATCTGTTAACAAATATGCTACTCGGTAAGACAACACCAGAGACCTAACATAAGCTCAATGAAGCAAGAGCATTTAATACACTTTCTTTTCGGATATTTCCTTAGTTGATTTATTAAAAAGGTTTTTACTAAAACCCTAATCTGAGTTTCCAGTCTCAACACAGGCTAGTTTCTGCTCTATTCTACCTTGTTTTTCATTCTACAATGTGTTATACAAATAAAAATAAACCGAAATAGCATCAAGCTAATGACATCAACATGTATAGCCCCATAATTTTAATTACAAACTCTGCATCAAGAAATTCAAGGACTGAGATCGCCTATAAGTGAAAAGGATGTAAGAAACCAAGATCCGGTAATTGTCCAGAAGCTGATTATCCAAAAAACAAAATCTGAGAACGGAAACAACAGTTTGCATTCTCAAGCATTTATTCTTCCCATGGAAGCTAGCAAGAGATACATACATTCTATTTTTTAAATGCCTATTTTACATCAAACAACATCCTGAAGAAAAATTGGAGGGATTTTTTTTTTTTTTTTGTTTGGTTGGAAGAAAAAATTAAGAGTTGAAGTATTACCTTCAAAAGAAGAGCATTCGGTTTGGAAGCACCCCGAAGGCGACATCCAACAGCATTCAAAACATGGTCAAACTTAATTTCAAGCTTGTAACACTCCTCATCCTGCCATATCCAAAACTCTAATCTTCTCCTTTCCGGCATCAGCCAAGTCCTGACTCCCTCCCACCTCTCTAGTACACACAACCGGTTCTCGTTCGCCATAAAACCCACATGCAAAACCCCATTGTCGATTCCGTTGTGCGCGTCGATAGGCCTGGGGATGATGTCATCGTAGGTTTCAGATATTTGGAGGTTGTGGGATTTGAAGAGAAACTTGTTTTGGAGAGAAAGTAGGTAGGCCTTGGATTTGACCTCCATTGAAGTGAACTGGACGCGGCCATAGGTACGGGGCTTCCAGTTGTTGCGGTCAGTGGAGATTTCTATAGCGAAGACTGAGTCGAGACCTAATTGGGACTCGAAGAAGTGCAGAAGGTCTTTGGCTGTCACAGTTTGTGGTATGTTCGTGACCCTAACTGTAGACTTCTGCATCTCAGTCCCCATGGAGGGGAACTTGAGAAAGAGCAAAAAAGTTGGCTTGTAAAAATCTCCGACACGCTACTCCGATCTTTTTGAATTTTGTTTAATATATTTTTGTAGCTTTATTTTTTTATAAAATAAAATTAGAGAAAATAGAATATGATCGTCTATGGGTCATGTCTTATTACAACTAAAGAAAAAGTTCATCTTCGTAGAAAATTCTTTCACCAAAACATATTAATTAAGAAGGATTGGTCAAAGAAATATGATTTACAATATATCTCAAAATAATATATTTTTATTATCACAAAATGTAATAACAATTGTAGATTATTTTGATTGAAATAAATTTAAAATTGTTAGAACATTTAAAAAATACATATATCTATCCATTTTATAACGGAAACTAATTCGGATAAAGGATTGAATTGATACTAGTTTGAATATAATAAAATAATTTTATTAAGCTTAATGTACTTATTCAATTTAATATGTATAAGTAAGTACTTTGTGTCAAATTAAGAAATTTGACGACCCTCTTTAACATTCTTTTTTATTTACTACATGTATATATTATTTAGGTAAAATTTGTATAATTAATTTTCATTATTCAAAAATTAAGAGTATAATAAAAATTATCTGTTGACACAAAAAAAAAAATCACTCTAAAATAATTATCTTATGACTATTGAAAACGAATCAAATCAGATAAATTATAAAACTACTACCACCAATAAACTAGTAATACTTGATGCGAAATATTATAATTAATTTAAAATTTAAATTATTGTATTTATATATTTAAAATTTAATAATTTAAGATTTAAATATATTTCAAAGATCATTAGCGATCGTTTCATTATTATTATATTATATGAAGAAGATACAATTAAAACATTGTAAAAAATATCCGTAATTAGTTAAAATATAATACAATTTCTATACATATATAAAATAATATTTAATTGTTTGTCTATAATAATTAGTTATTATTACAAAGATTTTTGCAGTTGATGAAGCTATGTATAACTGTTAAAAAAAATATGTAAATTTATTTATTCAACTAATATTTTTAATTAATTAATAATTAACATGCATGATGTACTCCACTTCATGCTCATTACACTTTCTTTTTGCCTAAGGTGGACCTGTTCGTCTATTAAATTTTGGTTAAAGTATTAAAAGATGATCCATATACTTTTTTAAGTAACATATATATATATATATATATATATACATACATAAATTGGTATATTATATGGTGATATATGTATAACAATCATTCACACTACTAAATTTTTTTTTTTTACAAAAAAGTTTATAAAATTTTAATAAAAAAGTAATATTTAGGCATTCATAACAAATCGATAATAAAATGAACTTCTTAATAAAAATATATACTTTAGTCAAAAAAATAATTGGTCCTTAAACTTTTATATTTATATATAATTTTAATGATATAATATTTTTTAAATAAAATTAGACTATTGGAATACAAATTTTACCTCTTACCCAAAAAGAAGTAACTTGTAACATTCTCTCCAAAAAATAAAAACAGAAATTTGCACTTGCACAAATCTTATGGATTTAATGACCAACAAAAGAAAACTGGAGTAAAAAACACAAAAGAAAAAGAAAAGTTGAAGTGACTACACCATATTTATACCCTTTTGAGTTATGTCATTATTAGGCGGTGTCATGATAGGAGAAGAAGAAGAAGAAGAAGAAGGAGAAAGAGACAGGGCCACCTTTGGAGTATTTGCGGAGCTTGGGAATCTCTTATTCTTAGACCACAGCCATGTCTTGGACACAGAGAAGCTATCACCTCTACTTCTCCCACTAATTCTCTTACCCTCCACTTCATCTCCTTCTCTTCCTTTCACTAACTTCAAATCATTTAGTGTTACTTCCAGACTGTAATCCCCCACAATATACTGAAATCTACCCATTGAGTAACATCTCCTCCCATCCAAATTACACCTACTGCTTTCTCCATTTCCAATTTCTCCACCATTTTTTCCACTCTCATTTAAGCTTCTGAATTTGCCGAGTCTCACTGAAAACACTCTCTTTGAATTTGAACTCTTGTCTTCCTTAATCACTGTATTATGACCAGAAGACAACGTATTTTCTCCATCAATGGAGACCCCATTTTGCGTTTCTCCCGAGATTTGCAGATCGAGTAGTGGGATTTCGACCAAAAGGCCAGAACTTGAAAGGGTCCCTCTGCAGAGAGGACACGAAGAGTTTGAGAGAAGCCAGGTGTCAATACAATCGATGTGAAAGGCATGACTACAGGCCGGGAGTAATCTGAGCTTGTCACGATCTGAGAATTCACATAAACAAACAGCACAATCAAATGGCTCCTTTAGTCCCACTATGTCTTTGTAGCAGAACACAGGCAAGGCATCAATGGAAACTTGGTCTAGGCCTGAGTCGTGCAAGCGAAAGAGATGCTGCAATTGTCTTTGAAGAGTTTGAGAGGTGGAGGTTTGCGGGTATCGATTGGATTGGTAGATTGTGGAAAAAGATGGCCGCTTTATTAAAAATCTGAAAAGTAAATGGAGAAGACCAGAGATGAAGACGATGAGAGCTAGAATTGCTATTATCAGAAGAAGCACTGGACTGATTTTGCTCAAAGCTGATGATGACGATGGAGTAGATTGTGGAACACTGTAGTAAGGAGTTAAAGAGAGTGAAACTGGAGGAGGTGGGTGAATCAAAACCCCATCTGTCTGATTGATTTCTTGTAGAATTCTAGTCATTTTAATGAATGGATTAGGCTTAAAGATGAATTGGGTTACAGTTTCTGAGACATTTTCTGGTTGCTTCTTGCTTTAAGATCGTAAAAGATGATGGAACATAACAAGCCAAGAATTTATTCTGCGGGTAGAACAAGAGGGAGATAAGCAAAGGATCAAATAACCCAGAAATCCCAGAGATTAAGAGGAGATAGAAAAGAAAAGAAAAGAAAAGAATTGAGATTGAAGAGACGAAATTACATTGGGCAAGAATGGGGAAAGAGTAATAAGAGAAAAGGTGAAGATGGGTAGCTGGAGAATTCAACAATGATAGATTTGAGAGAGAAAAGAAATATTTATGGTTGGAGAGTTGGTGATGAAGGAGGCTTTATTTCAAATGGGGTTTGCGCCATGTGAATTATATTTATATATATATTAAAGTAAACATGTGAGACAACAGACTCTAGTGATGATCTTGGAATGTTCACACTGGAAATGCGCATGGAGATTACAGTGCTCAAAGTCAAATCTTGGATTATACTTCTGTTACTCCAATCAAAATGTTAAAAGTAAAATCAGTAGTTGGTAAAATTGTTGGCTGGTTAGTTAAATGATTGAAGCATTTACTCCTTTTTTTTTTTTTTTTTTTTTTTTTCTCTCTTTAAAATGTCAATTAAGATTTGAATAGCCATTCTAGTTAAACATTAGTCTATTTTTATTTTATCCTCATACATAATTTTTGTGATCTTTAATTAGTCTGGTAAAGATGAAAAAGATTATGGTATTAAAAAAAAAAAAAACATAAGGCTTAAAAAAAGAAATAAATAAGAATGTTAGAAAAGAAAAGAAAAGAAATATGGAATATAAGTAAATAAGGTTAAAAGAGAGATAAAACCTGAGTATGGATGGAGGTCACATGCGACATTGATGTTTGCAGAGAAACTTGTTTAATTAATCATCATCATGAAAGTTTGACGGCATTTCTTCCGCCGATTTTGGCACTTTCTCCAAAAAACCTAAACAATAACAAAAGTCAAAAGAGATTTACATTTAAGTCAACCCTACTCACTCAATCAACTACAACAAACCTAATTAACATGTAATTTTAAGAGTTTGGAGACACTGATGGTTCATTTTCATTCTTTTTCTTAGGAACTGAAGTTTCCTCTTCGATGGTCATCAATAATACGCGTATATATATATATATATATATTGGTGGACAGAAGTATGTGGTGGGTCTCTTTTGCCTTTTCTACTGCACGCATGGCACACCTTAAAAACATTTATTTTGGTGCCAACTAACAACAGCTTATCATCACTAACCACCTTTCCTTCCTTTAGTGGATTTGACAAATGCAATTTAGCTTATCATCACTATCGGAACATACTGTACTATAAATTTATTAAATTCTCCCTCTATTGAAGATTCATATGCTGATATATGTATACATATATATATATGTATATATATATATATAAAGGTATTCAGCCATCACAACCCCCTCTAAATATAAATTATAGGATTTATAAAGAAGATTACATGTTTGAGAAATCACAGATTATATTTTCAAGAAAAGAAAACAATAATGGTTAAGCAAGAAAGTGTCAAGTGCTTCATCTTATATGTCATTGCTCTGAGCTTATGGATATCTCTTCTTCCTCTTTAATAGAATTTATGACCCCAGCAACTTGTTTCAGGTCTGGCCTTTCCCCAAAATTAGGGTTTATGCACTTCAATGCAACCTGTAAAAGCCTCACCATCCTCTCTTCACTTGCTCCTCCTGATGACAATGCCTCGTCAAAAACTTCACCAGTCCATTCTTCTTCAATCACCGACTTCACCCAACTTCCCAAATTCAACCCATTGTTCTTCACCAGCTTTCCTGTTAGCAGCTCGAGAAGGATCAAACCAAATCCACAAACATCACCCTTGAAATCTCTGTAAACTTGGCCTTGATGATCATCACTTGAATCATTGTTTTCGTAGGTCAACGATGCAGAAACTGATGATTGTTGACCTTGATTCTCAGCTATCATCAGCCCATATTCGCTTATTATAGGATCCATGTTGTCATCAAACAAAATGTTTGTGGATTTCAGGTTGCCATGAGGTATCCCTTCTTTGCAAAGCTCCTGATGCGTGAACGCCAAGGCCTCTGCGATACTAGCAGCGATATTTAATCTGCTTCCCCAGTCAAAGACTAGTCCATTTTTGGAACCTGACATTGATCATGAGTTACTTACTATATCAAAATTACATCGTGCAAAAAAAATTTGGTTAGAGTTAAGGGGTATATATGATATATAAAGTTACCATGAAGAATCCTAAAGAGACTTCCATTCTTCTGATATTCATAAACCAAGAGCTTTTCTTGGTTGGAGCAATAAAATGCAACTGGGGGCAGTACATTTGGATGCCTCACTTGATCTAATCTCCTCATTCTTCTTTTGAAATCTTCACTTGAAATACTCCACTCCTTGATCCTTTTGACAGCCAAGGTTTTCCTACCATTTTCAAGCATGACCTTGTAAAGGCTTCCGTGTTTTCCTCGTCCCATTAATTCTGCTGGTGCGCGGAGCAGATCCTCGAATTTTAATACATTCGATATTGGACTTGTTAGAACTACAAGTGAAGATGACCCAGTTCTATTTTCAACTGAACTTATTGAGTACTCAGATTTACTCCCACCATTCTTCAATTCAATGAAAGGACTACTAGACTTGTTATCAACCACTCTTCCCCTTTGTACGCCTTCAAAGTTCGCTACCTTGGACTTCTTCTTACCCACTAATTTAAAGACAAGGAACACCACAACAATCGCTACGAGAATTATGTAGCCTATATAGATCAGAAAACGATCCAACGATGAGCTTTTTGGCTTGTCTTTTGGAGTTGAAGCAGATGGTGGACATTCAATTGGGAGTGGAGGACCACACAGTCCTGGATTTCCTGCAAAGCTGTCTGCAGTTAATCTGCCTTTGACATCAGGAATTGGGCCACTAAGATTGTTGTTAGAGACATTGAACTGCACAAGATCAGAGAAATCAAAGTTGGGTATCCTTCCAGAAAGCTCATTATTTTCTGCAAAGAGAGTAATCAAGCCTGAAATTCGCAGAAGATCCGCAGGAAGCTCACCAGAAAATTTGTTGTCTGCTATTTCAAGCCTCTTCAAATTACTTAACAGAGATAGAGAGTCAGGAAGACTACCTGAGAAGTGATTCCTGTTTAAATACAAGTGAGTTAGACCTTTGCAGTTTCCCAACTCTTTAGGCACTGACGAAGTAATATTGTTGCCTTTAAGGCTCAAGTGAACAAGAGAAGTTGTTCTGCAGAGAGAATCAGCATCAAGAATTCCTGAAAGATTCATCTCTTCAAGAACTATTTTCCTAACGAATCTCGACTTCGAATCACATTTAATTCCAATCCATTTGTCAGCGCAAGGGTCTGAATTCATGTTCCAACCCCATCCATCTTGAACGTTGCCAGCAGACAGCTTTTCAAAGAACTGAACCAATGATTGATTCACATCTTCCTCCTCGGAATTGATTGATCCAGAGAGAAAAAGGATTAAAACGAGTACCCAGGTGAGAATTTGATCCATTTTTTATGCATCAGCAGAATTTTTTTTTTTTTTTTTCACCAAATGGAATTTGAATTTGTATACCCTTTAATGAATGATAAGTTGATGCTCCCAAACAAGGAGTAACAAACAATTGCCAATTGGCTGAATTTACAAACACCATTTTGCAGTAGTGTCAACAAGGAGGTGAAGAAATCAACTGAAAAAGTCAAGAGAAAAAACCAGGAGACGCCGGCAGATTGATTGAAATAGTCAGAAAATTTGTTGAAAAGTACATGCTTGCGGATCATTAGGAATCTGCAAATAGAGCTTTCTCATAACCATTAGAAGCTAAAAGTGAGATGCCATAAGCAAATTCTCCAGCATACTTGCACCAATTTTAAAATGAATATTTGTAAGTCCATGAATATTTTACTCGTAAATTTCCCAATTATAGTATATATGATTTGTATTTGATCAAATTGGGAATCTTAAAACTTAATTTCTGTGTGAAAAAAGTACCGAGTTCTATAAGAAAATTGAACCAATAACTACATGAAATTTTGGGTCAATATTTCTTTTAAATAAAATTATATTTGCATTAACTCATCTTTTTTATTTATTTATTCTTTTTTTCACTTGATTAGTTTTGGTGAGTTGTAGCACCCGGAAAGGAGGAGAAAAAAAAAAAAAAAAAAAAAAAAAAAAGGGGGGGCCACGTCAGCAGCCACGTCAGCAGGCCCGGTCAGCAGTCCCGGCCAACCAGGGCCTGCCACGTGGCAAGATCGCGTCACTCCAAAAGGAGCCACGTTGGCGATCCGCGTGGGTGCGATCCGACGGCCCAGATCAATCGCGCGATCGGACGGCCCAGATTCAAACGCACGGACGGCCCAGATTCAATCAAAAACGAACGGCCCAGATTAAAACGAAATGAACGGCTGCGATCAAAAGGCAAGGGGTTATAAATAGAACCCCCACACCAGACCAAAAACCCTAGCCGCCAGCCGCTCGCCGGAGAAGACGAACCAGAGGCCGACCGCCGCCACCCGCCGCCACTCGCCGCCGCACCGGGGAAATTTCCGACCGCCGATCGAGGTAAATTTCATACCCCCGACTCGTTTTTCCCCGCTGATTCCTCCTATGGCCAAATCGAGGCCGAAATCCCGGCCAAACGGCCGGAATACGCGGCCGAAGCCCAGCGGCGCCGCCGCGCCCCCTCTCGGTTTTTGCCTCCGACGAGGCCCTTCCCGGCCTCCGTTCGATGCAATTTTTATATCACCGTGATCACCATTCTTTTCTCTACAGGTTGACCGGAGCCGAATCACCAAAACACAAACCTCGCCGGAGAGCCGCTGCACCCGAGAGCGCCGCCGCCGGTAAGCTCTGTTTTTTCGTGATTTTTTGGCCCCCCGGGGGCCCTAGGGTTGTTTTCTGACAAGGACCAATGCGAGTGTGGCCGAATTCGGCCGAAAACGGCCGAAAACAGCCAACCCGAGGCGACTCGCCGCCGCCAGCGGCGGCGCCGTCGCCGGAGCACGGCGGAGCCGCCGTGCCGGAGTTGCGATTTGGTCCGAAAGGGGCCCTGGGCCTAATTTGGATTTTTTTGGAACACGTGCAGGTACTGTTAGTGTGTTTCAGTTCCCCGGAAAAAATTCAGGGAAAATTAGGGACGGCCTGCAGGCGCACTGTGAATCGTATTCGGATCCCGAAAACAAGTAAGGACCCCTCACCCTATTTCCTATCACGGTATTAAAGTTCAAAATGATAAAACGGTATTTCTTGAATTAACGCATGTGTGAAATTGCTTAAGGTTGCTAATGGAGCCCGAGTCTAGTGTGATTGATGATTTACTGTTATTTGGCCTGTTTTACACTGTTTTACAGCTTTAAATGCATTATGGGGTTTGGTGTGTTCATTTTATAGTTTCGAATGCATATATTACTGTTTTATTAATTATGGGTTGAATGACTGAAGAACTGATACTGTATGTTGTCTGTTCGGCATGAATTATGATTTGCTTGTTTAAATGTGAATTGATGATGCTTATTGAGGAAAAAGGGAAATGAAACATTGTATAGACTGATAATTGTATGATGGGGTCAGCCTGACTAGATATCCTGGGAGATGGTGGACGGACCGGGTCCGTAGGGAACCCTACCGGGATTGTGGTCTCACATGCCGGACGGGGTATGGAGATCTTATGGTTTTGGCGCCCATACCGGACGGGGTATGGGGACGGCCCGTTTCACCCTCATACCGGACGGGGTATTGAGGTTTATGGTTTTGGCGTCCATACCGGACGGGGTATGGGGACGGCCCTGGAAACTGATTATGAATGTTAAAGGTTAACGGGTAGCGGGACCCCTAGGGACCCCCATGGATACTAGTAGGCTGGTAAATGAGAAAAGGATATGTTGTATAATGATTGAATTACAAAAGGCGTGATAAGTGCTATGTTTTACAGCTTATATTATTCCATGATTGTGATAATGTTATTATTTTTCTTATATTGTTTTCATAAATTCCACCGAGGTAAGTGGATGGTAAAGGTTTTCATGTTAATAAACGAGTTTATTGTAAATTATGCTCCATTGGTCTTTTTGTGTTTTTCTACCCACCTTTACCTCCGTGACGGTGAGATATCGTGATGTTCTTACTGGGCTAGTGTAGCTCACTCCTTATTTAACAATTTCAGATCAGGAAGACATGGTTCCCGAGCCCGTTCCGCAGGAGGACGACGAAGGGGATACCTAGAGACTCTGTAGTCATACTCATAGTTTTATTTTCGAGTTTCTCTCTTAGTTAGTTTAATCTTTTATATTTTAAGTACGTTTCTGGTTTTTCGTGTAAGGGATGTTAACTAAAATTTTGATCTCGCTTCCGCATTCGATATATTTAAATACTCATTTCATTTTAATATTTCCGGGGCCGTTACAGTTGGTATCAGAGCCGCATTTCCTCGGACCCATCCCTTACACTATAGTCCTTTAAAGAAATACTCACCGATTGGTCGTTACTCAACCATTCCTTGTAAATGCAGGTACACAGAAATGAGGAGAGGAAGGCCCCCACTAAACCGAGCGGCCCAAGATAATTCGCTTCGGGAGGATTTGGACAGATTATATGAGATGGTGGAAGCTCTCGTAGCTGCCCAGCGAAGGCAAGAGGAGAGAAGGGAGTTACCCGGACCTCCTCCGCTAGCGCAGGTTGAGCCCCCGTTACAGCAGGCTGATCCCGAGCCACCCCGGCAGGAGCCTGTTCCTCCACAGTACCACCCGGCACCACAGCCGCGGTACGACCCGGTACCACAGCCACAGTACCAACAGGTACCGCCACAGCATATTCCAGTGCCCCCACCCCATCAGCAGGCGCCACCACAGGGTCCCCCAGTTCACCCTCAGCCGGCCCCAGTCCCTTTACCTCGGGACCCCGCTCCCTCCTTGATCGACCCCGGCTTCATAGAGAGGTACAGGAGACTGAACTCTTCTACTTTTTCAGGGGGATCCTCTTTCGAAGAGGCCCAATACTGGCTGGCGGAGACTGAGAGAGCCTTTGAGACCTTGGGAGTAATTCCTGAGCAGAGGGCTGCCATTGCCTCCTACATGCTGGTAGGGGAAGCAGTACGCTGGTGGGAGCTCAAGCGGGCCACCCTGCCTGTACCAGTTACTTGGGAGCAGTTCCTAGCGGCTTTCCATGCGGAGTATCTCCCTAAGCACATCCAACATTTAAAAGAAATGGAATTTGCTCAGTTGGTCCAGGGTAATATGACAGTGTCGGAGTATGCCCGCAAGTTCCTGGAGCTGGGCCGACATGCCCCGGAGACATTGTTGGATGAGGGCCGAAAGGCCAGGAAATTCCAGTGGGGTCTCCGCCCGGCGATCAGACAGCACTTGTTGGTGATGGAGCTCGAGACATATTCGGCAGTCCTGGCAAAGGCGCAGATCGTAGAAAGGAGCTTCGACACCCGCCCTCAGCTAGCGGGAAGTTCCCGACCTTCAGCCCCGCTCCGCAGGCCAGCGCCTACCATGCCTGTCCAACCCAGCAAGAGACCCAGGCCTGCCGCTCAGGGCCCTCCTCAGGCTATGGGGGCAGCTCGTGGGAAGATCTGCCAGTACTGCGGCAGGGATCATGGGGACCGACCCTGCTACCGCCTCAACAACACCTGTCGCATATGCGGCAGTGCCCAGCACTATGCGAGGGAGTGTCCTAGGAACCAGAATCAAGGGAGGCCTCCAATCCAGGGCAGAGTTTACAACCTTACCCAGAAGGATGCCGATGCAGACCCGGACGTGGTACATGGTATGTATACTATCTCTGGCCACATTGCTCATATTTTGTTTGATACTGGTGCATCACATTCTTTTATTTCACATGTTCTTGCTTCCAAAATT